ATCGAGATATCCCACCTGCATCCAGTCTCCGACATCGGTTTTCTGATCGATCGATAACCCACATCTATTTTTTTGTTATTGATATTTTGGTTATAAAAGTTTGACATATCAGCTTACATATATAGATGTCCTTTTTGGTCATTTTACATGTATAAGCAAAATTTGCCAAACACTAAAAAAACAACTTATCAGCTTATTGCAGTTTGGTACCGCTATAAGCTAATCCAAACACTTTTTACAAAACTCCGGTTTGATACCGCATAAGTTAATAAGCACTTTTACAAAAAAGCATAAGTTGTTTTAAATAAGCAATCCCAAACACCTCCCTTAAATTATTATTTTTTTATTAAACATAATAAAATAATTATTTGATAAAAATATTAAAATAACAAATTTATCAACAAAATTGTTGCAACTCATACAAGAGCATCTACAACCATGGCATCCCAAAAAAAAAAACCAAAAACACTAAATATGGTGGAATTATAAACATTAAAAAAATTCAACTTCAATTGCCCTCTTTAAAAAAACACTAAATTTTTGGACCCCACATTAAAATAACATATTTTATTTATTATTTTTAATAACAAAATAATTATAATTTGTAATAGATATTATAATAATAAATAATTAGTAATTTATTTATTTAATGAAGAACTGTTAAAATAAAAATGATAAATTTTTAATTAATAAATTTTATATTAAAAAAGATTACATTAGTTCAAATAGCACAAATAAACAAGCACATAAATAATACTAATTCTCCGAGTTAGTATATTCGTCTCACAAATGATCAATTAATGCATTATGAAGTTCAAAGTGAGCATTTTTATCCTTGATTTTTTTGTGTCGAGCAAGAAATTGTTCAAGTCCACCATTGTTATCGTTCATCATCTCAACTTTCACGTCTTGCACTTCACTTCGTTCTTCAATTGGTGCATTAATATCACGTCCATCTTTTGTGATCATATTATGCATAATGATGCACGAAGTCATTATATCATGTAATATTTCCTTCCTCCGTAACCGTGCAGGTTGCTACTATTGCAAACCTTGATTGCAATACGTCAAATACACGTTCTACGTCTTTTCTACATGCTTCTTGTTTTTTTGCAAAATATTATTTTTTAGAGCCACGTGGATCGTGAATAGATTGAATAAGAGTGGCCCATTTTGGATATATGTCATCAGCTAAATAATAACTCATATTATATGATTTTCCTTTGATGACATAATTAGCAAAAGAAGCATTACCTGCTGCAAGATTTGTCTATTTTAATATATTCATCTGTAGAATCTGCAGAATCGCATATGCCAGCATTCGAAATACAGCAGTAACTTTTTGATAACCTGACAACCCAAGTTTGCCACATTCATCCTTTCGTTAGAGAAAGTAGTTGTCATGACTTTGGATAGTATCCAAAATACGAAGGAATAAAGTACGACTCATTCAGAATCGTTGACGAAACATCGACTCAGGAAATCGAGGATTTTCAGAAAAATAATCATTGAAGAGATTGCGATCGGCATTTTCCTGATCACGATTAATAACTATATGGCCAGGAATAGAACCTCAATAAGATATATGGTTGTTTTGAACATAATTACAGATATAATTATCCACTTCAGACGCTAGATTGACTGCCTCACTCATTAGTTCGACATTAGCATTATCAAAAGCCTCATCGTCTGAATACGAATTATCAGCCATTTGAGTGATATTTCTCAACAAAGAAAATTGCAAAGAAAGTTGAGATATTTTTTTATAGTTGTGATTCAAGTTTTATAGTGAGAATCAGTGGTGTTGTCAATTTTTATCATGCTTTTCAGAAGAATCTTACCAGACTTTTCAAAAGAATCTTACCAGACTTTTTCAGAAAAATCTTTCCAGACTTTTCAGAAAAATCTTACCAGATTTTTTGAGAAGAATCTTACCAGTGTGTTGTCTAATCTATCTTCATTTTGAGTGAACTGAAAATTTCGTGTATAAATAGGGGGTGATTTTGGTAAGCTAAATCACACACATTTTCATTAAGATATTACCAGACTTTTCATAAAAATGTCTTCAACAATCCAAAGTTCATCCTACAAAGATAACGAAGACATACATCTATGTCATTGTTATCTTGATATAACTCAAAATCCAATAATAGGCAGAAACCAAACAAAAGATAAGTTTTGGTCAAGAGTAAAAACTCAATATCATGCAACCAAACCGTTCGCAACCAATCATCGACCAAGAAGATCATTGGAAACGAGAATGTCTTGCATTCTAAAAGCTGCCAAAAAAATGCAAGAGTGTATCAATCAAGTCCAAATGAGGAATTAAAGTGGTGCTTCTGAACAAGATATCGTAAGTATTTATTGTTTTAGTTGATCATTGTTTTATTAATTTAAATATAACGTGTATTTTTCATAGATGAATGAAGCGAAAGAGATGTTAAAACTAGACGTATCCTATAAGAAGGGTTTTAAGTTTGATCATGTCTAGGACATCCTGAAAGACTCTGAGAGTTTATCAAATGTCACTGCATCGACTCAATATCAACGACAAAGTCCTTCTCAGTCACCTTCTTCCGGTCCTGGTTCATCGTTTGGGACAAATATCGGTTTACCCTCGTTGACTATTCACAACGCAAAAGGTAGTGCTTTAACTCAAAGACCAATTGGTGTGAAAAAGACAAAATCAAGGCTCCAATCTGATAATAAACTTGAGACTTTAGTGAAGGCTAGTAAAAAAATGAGCAAATGTATAGTAAAAAACAATGAAGTTATGATGAGAAGAAATGAGATTCAATCTCAGAAAAATGCAATAGATATAAGGTTGACGGATAACAAAATTATGTTCACTGATCTAAATTCTATCACTGATCCTGTGTGTTATGAATTCATAAAAAATGAGAAAATTCGAATATCGAGAGAGAGAACAGAACCCCAGGTTCATACGTTTGGACAAGGATCAGAATACGTAGGATCTCAATATCGAGCATCTCAACATCAAGAATTGTGGAGAAGGAGTTCAAGACCAAGCCGAAGGATCTCAGAACATAGCAGGAAACTTTAGTCACTATATGGCTAACGGAAACCAGTGGACCCTTTAATTTATGTCTTTTAGTTTTTAAAATTTTCATTAATAAACTACGTTTACATTTATCCGGTATCATATTTGTGTTATTAATAATTTATTATATATATTCTATATTATAAAGCATTTAGGTAGAATTTTTAAATACAAATTATAATCTATAACGTACTAATTTTAATGCAGATTACTTAAAAAATTTAGAGTACAAACTAATGATACATTAGTACAAGTTACTAAAGCTTCTAACTTTTTGTTATCACCCCAAACCCACCCACAATTTTCATCCATATCCATTTTCCTTAAATATATGTCTAACTAACTAATATCGATGAGGATCAATTCTAATCAATGTTTATCTCAATTCTTTATTTATTTGTTAGTATTTGCTTATTTATATCTCTACAAAATTAGATGACTTTGACTTCTTCATCTATGCTTAATTCTTCAAAACCCTAGATCTGTGGATTGTATTTTCCCATCTCTATTCTTGAACTAATTTTGATTTTGATCTTTTGTTCGCAGATGCATTTGTAACATTTTTACAACTCAAGAATTTAAGCCTCATCAAAGGTAAAGTATAAACTTGAAAAAAGTAGTGATACTTGTACGGATATAATTTTGATTTTGATCTTTTGTTGGCAGATGCATAAGTTAATTATGGTGATTTATTGGAATATATAGTGGTAAATTTTGTTGGATGTCTGCTTTGAGTACGGCCATGACCTATTATATATACGATATTCTAAAAGATTTAACAAAAACTCTTAAAAACCATTTTTTGATGCATTAAGTATTGTTTAATGATGCATATTACTTAAAATTCAATATTACAAGTAAATTGTAAAACTACGTGTTTGAATTCGTGTAACTAACTGCAGATAAACATAATTTAATACTGGATAAATATCTCATTTTGAATATAAAAAATCTAAAATATACTTAGAATAATTATTGAATTCTAACATAATACTAATTATTATCTTTATAAAAAAATTATATTATTAAACAAAAAATAAATGACTTTATTATTAAATCTAAATTAAATTATAATAAAAAATTGAATTAAAAAAATTACACAAAAAAAGAAAAAACTTTTAATATTTAATTTGATACTAAGACCATCCACATCCCTGCAATCCATTTACACTTTCAATTGTGTCACATCAACTTTTGCAATTATCTTCCACACACCTACAATTCACCTACAACACTTTCAAAAGTGGTCCCCACTATAACATTTATTAACTATTTTATAAATTATTTATATATACATTCTAATTATTTTTTAATTAATAACATGTTTTATTTTAATTCAATGTTAATTAAAA